GCGCTGCCGCCCGAGGGTTCGGATCCCACATACAGACCGGCTCCCGCTCACTGGCTGAGCGAGGCGTGGGAGCAACACCGAGGTTTGCAATCCCGTTGCCGGTCCCTGGTCCGGTACGGGGGCAACACTGAGGGTTGCGATCCGTTGCCGGACACGGAAAAAACAGACAAAAGACAAAAAAAAAAAAAAAGACTGACTCTACAAACTGTCTGCTGGTGTATGTATATTGTGGTAATTACACAGGCTCAGGAATAAAAAGACAGAAATATCTATTTGCCACTGCAATTTCATAACAGGATAATTTTGAGCTCATTGTCTACATCTCTAAATAATGACATATGGGAAAGAGAGAAAGATTCAAAAGAGGTAATATATGTGAAAAGTACCTAATACTCCTTTGGTTTTTGTTTTAGTCGCCTTTACCATAGGATTTCAGAAGGATAAATTTATTGATTCCTTCATCTCTTTATTGAAAAGATATTTATTAAGCCCCAACTACAAGGCCAGAATTGTTTTGGGTAGTGAACATGTAGCACAAAACAGACAAATCTCCTGCTCTGGGCAAGCTTGCATTCTAGGGAAGGGTATAGTAAATTAAGAAATAAGCAGATATAAAATTTCGGATAGTTGTCGGCAATAGGAAGAAAATAAAGCAAAATAAAAAGAGGCAGAATGACAGCCTGTAGGAGAACTATTTAAACAGGGCAATCTGGAAAATCCTTCCTAAGAAATGACATTTAATAAGAGATCTGAATGACATGAGGTTTTAAGGTAAGAGAATTTTCAGAAAGTGGATAAATCAATGTGGACACACCCAAAGTGAGTGAGTGAGTGAGTGAGGGGCAGTGTAGTGGGAGATGGGGTGGGGGCTTGTGGAGGAGTGTGTAATATGTAAAGAGGGTGGGACTAGTCAGAAAAGGCTTGGAAAGAATGCAGAACTTTACCAGGCTCTGGAAGGAAAGCTGAGATTTGTGTAGAGAGGATAACGTAGGACTCCATCATGGGGAAACATAAAAAAGTAAGGCAGTAAAACAAACTCATCAAAATATCAAGGGAATTGGGTCATAATGGGAGCTATAATAGAGATAGTGAGCCAAAGAAATAATTTAGAAATAAGCAGCCACTAACCGGCTGTTTGATATAAAAATTATCCTGCAAAAAATAAGAAGGATGTTTGAAAAGATGAGCAACTTAAGTGAGGTCCTGCTAATCAAATAATGGGTAAAAGGCATCAACAAGATTATGTATTAGCCAGAGTAGACTAACTGATTTAACAAACTACTAAACCTCACTGGTTTTATATGAGTACTTTATTTCTTGCTTACATCACAGAAAGAACTGAACTTCATGGAGATGCTGCTCCACACAATCATCCAGGCCTCCAGAATCCTTCCAGATTGTGGTTTCACTCACCTCTGAGTCCTAGAATTCTTCATTCAGCCAACTGATGGGAAGAGCATGGCTTAGACATTGGAGGGTGTTTACTGTCTAGTCCAGGAAGAGGAGCAGATGACTTCATATTCAATATGCTGGACATAACTGATGTGGCCACACATCACTACAAAGGAGCCTTAAAAATGTCCATTTGTGTGACCAGGGAAAAAAAAACAAAATAGATAAAACTCAGTCAGAGATATGCACACATTTTAGATATAAGTAGATAGCTCAAAGGAAATGTAATAAAAAAGAATTAATAGCATATATAGAATAAGTAGTACAAAGAAAGTATAAAATGTCCAATATCAGAGACACTACCTCTTTTATTTTGATGTTTCTATTATAATAAATATGAAAAATTGTCATCATTTATGAAAAAGACTTTGGGCAAACATCATTGGGTTGAAGTCTAACAAAATGTTCTAGATTTTATTAAAATATCTTTCGAATTGAATTTCATATTTTCTGATTCTCTACCCACTCATAGAATACATTGATGCAGATCATGGCATTTGGATAATGGGATTATTTTTAATCATTTGCTTTCTCCATGTTCCCTAAGTGAATAATGCTGCTTCATTATGTCCTCATTCTAAGATGCAATATGTGTATGCATCTGTGTCATTTTTATTTATTGAAAAACTTTTTTTTTTTTTACCAATTAGAAACAAGGAGAGCTTGGAGTGATAAGGTTTTCTTCCTAATTTAAGGCAGCGATGCTATGAAAACAGCAATTTGGGATCTAGAACTTTTGGGAAGTATCAATGATAGATTTTTCAATATAAAGTAAAATTCTTTACAGATAATATACTGGTTGTCACTCCAGAAAAGATGTTAAAATCACACATGGCCTTACAAATATGACCAATGTACAGAGGCCTATAATGACCCATAGAAATTGGTCAAATTTCCTGTGCTGTAAACATAATTCATGTACATAAGTAGCAGTAGTAGTAGCAGTAATTGTAATAAAGCAGTTACACTTTACAAAAAATCATTTTGACATTGAAGACTATCCTCAAACACAAAATCCATTAGGTAATAATCCTTCTAATCTAGAAGACATAACAGACGTATTGTTGATTTCATTCAGGAATACCAGTAATTAAATTTATTTCAGAAAATAACTATTGGTTTTTCATCAGATCTAAAATCCTCCTGTCATTCTCTCATAATCTCTCTCTCTCTCCCACAAGATACAAGGACACTATTATCTGGTGGCTGAAATATGACTGGATCTTATCATTATCAAGTTGTAATATAGACTGATGTTTTAACAGTAGTTCTCATCTAAAGCAGTTTTTAAAATAATTTTTTTCTCATATACCCCATAAGAATTTAGAATAAAATAAGTGTTCTCAAGAAAGTTTACAGGTTGATGATTAAATTGTAACACTTTAAGATAGCAAAAATATTAAAATTTTGCCCCTTTTAAATATTGGCATTTTAAAATAAACATGTTATGTCAGTCTTTCAGTTACAACCGATGGGATCTAAATATCATAATGATTTGATACACAACATCACTGATTTTAAAAAAGTACACGAACAAAAATATATTGCATGTTTTATTTCATCTTTAGAAAATAACTTAATCCCAATTCTTCTGTATGTTTTTATTCAAATATATATAACACACTTAAGTTTTTGTTAAAAGTATTTTTTTCTACAAGAAAAGTTATTAAATTCAAAATCATTTAAAAAAATTTCCTGTGAGCATAAGACAGTACATGTTCTCAAGAAAATTATTTTAGCTTGACATATCTTTACTGTCACATATAGATGTATCATGTATCCATGGATGAGTATTATCTATTGTGAGAAAATGCAGGGTTCAACATCCATTCATTCCCTTGTAGAAAAAAAGTAGGTCAGAGCATAAAGAAATTATGTTCATATGAGGAAATACATAGAACAGATGGACTTGTTATTAGCATGTAACTCAACTCTTTGAATCTTTTCTGAGTTTTGGGTCAAAAATCACATGTTGATTTTCCATTAAAAATATTTTTTTAATAGTCTGTCTCTGACAGCTAAACTTGGTTGTCCTTTGATTTTGTTGAAAAGCATGATTTAGAAAACACCTGGAAAAGCATTTGTTTTCTAGTCATCAGAGTCATTTATTTTCTCAACCCTGATACCAATATCTAGTTTATCCTGTGTACGTCTGTGTGTGTTTGTGTTTCTGTGCGTGTGTGTGTGTGTGTGTGTGTGTGTGTGTAAAATTCTGGAAAATTTCACATCCTGGTACAATACAACATAATTAGTGGTGTTAGGATGGGTGAGAAATATTCCTTTCTAGTAAAAAGTAGGAATAAACATAATTGACAAAGGGGAGGTATGAAAGGAACTGCTTCACTCAGGAACCATATCAGGCATAGGAGAGGATACAGATGGAAATAAAGACCAGGAAATGAATTTCCTTAAACCGTCTGTGCTTATGTCTTATAACCCCAGGGTATATATATACCCCAGCTGGAAGATATCTAAGGAAGCTATCTGCAAAGCAGCGACAATCCTTTGAAGGGTTTACATATATATACATTGATTCCTTGCCTAGTCCCTTTTCTGAGTGGTCTCATGTCACAGATGGCATGCAATGTGCCCTGTGTATAGAAGTTCTATATCCTGAAGAGATTGACAGTGTCACACTTAATCTTTTATTTGCCTCAGCATTTTGTGACTTCTTGAAGTTTTCACACAAAGTTGAGTGGACTTACGCATTATAATTTATAGTTTTAATTGATTTTACTCAAAATGGACAAGTTGCTTATACAGATTTTTGCCAAATAAACATGTATTAATTGTAATATAGGCTTAATGATCCAAACATGAGCAAAACATGAAAAGGTGGCAGCACTTATATTTTTAACCAAGTTCAATATTTTGGTAGGCCACACCTCAGGACAAAACAATGATGGTCTAAACTGAAATGACAAGAGGTCAGCAAAAAGTTTCTAAATCATCAAAAAGACAATTTAAAGAATGAATATACATATTAATTAAAATAAATTTTGTGATCATTGTACATAGTGCATGAGCAAAAAAGTAGGGGTTTATAATTTATAAATAAATAAACATGTTTTGGGATATTTGTCCAAAAATATTTTAATGATAGGGTTTGTTATCTAAAAGCTTTAGGGCCACTGGGCCAGAGAAAGAGATAGTGTTAGCTTTTGTATATGCTGGAAAGAACAGTAGCCCAGTAACCTCCTGTCTAGAAATTTTATCAGCATTATTTTCTCAATATATTTAGCACTAAATGGGGAAAAAAAAGAAGAATCAGTGAGGTTCTGGGATAGTCTATTACTAGTGATGCTTATGACAACTTAATTATGCTGCCATACATGTTTAAATAGTATAGATGATATTACAATTTTCATAATAGTTTATATGTAAATAATTACAGAAGTCATTTTTAAGCAACAGAATATAAAGATTGGGAAAATTTATGGAAATAGATACAATTTTCTTTTAGGGATAACTAGTTTCTCAGCAACATTCTAAGTCAATGTAAATTCCAATGGAATTCCCATAATATTTGAGTCAGGCTGAACACATCTTTGTCTAAGACTGTTATTCTCACCACAGGGAAGCAGAGGACCGTGCAGAAACAAACAAATAGGTCCTCCCTAATTTCAAAAGCTGGCCACAGATATATTCAACAATTCCTTTACAGAAATAGACTTTGCATTTTAGAATTTGCGTATGTCCTATAGAGCTGGGTGGGTAGTCTGTTTAGTAATTACATTACTATTAATTTATATGCATCAGGTTAATGAACATTAAAGAATTAATATTTTCCTTTCACTGATGACCAAATTATAGATACTTAATTCCTAAAAAATGCATAACTTGACATACCATTGTGTTTTAATATAATCAGTGAGTACCTCGAATGTCTTCCATTTGACTTTCTTATTTCAGATATGAGAAATGCAATCAGACGGGAAGAACACAAAGAAAGTGCTACACAACTCAAAGCAAAATTTATACAACTTAGAACACCTAAATACCTGAAAAAGAACCAGAATGAATAAATGAATTTGTCTGCACTAATTAGCAATTCCCAAGCTATGGGAGATGTGAGAAGACAGGACTCTGAGGTTGAGGCTGAGACTAACTTGAAAGCAGTTTATAAATCCAGTTCTAGAAATAGCTACAGGAAAGAATTGTAAAAATTGTGAAAATGGCTGTTCCTCAGGTATTGAACTTTTCAACCAATCTTGTAAACACAATTAGAGCAATTTTACCAGTAGCTGTGTGTGAATTTGAAAAGCAATTAAACACATGTGTAAAGTTTCATTAGAAATTTAACGCATGTCTTTCTAAAATACGTTAACTAAAAGTAAGCTGCTTTTTACTTACATAAAATAGTGAAGCTGATTTCAGCAACTCATCACTAAGACAAGGTTTGGTTTTTGCTTTTGAATTTAGGCTTCTATTAAAAATTGATACCTAAGTTACCATCAAAAGTTTTTCATTAAGCTAGAAGGAAAAACTAAAAACTTACTTCACTCAAAAAATAAAAATAAAATAAAATAAAGAAAAGAAGAAAACACAACATAAATTTAGCTTCAAATTTAGTCTTTAATATCATACTGACTTTTGTGATTTCCTTAAGGTAATGCTAAAAAAAATTTAAAGCATTTCATCTCAATTGTGTCTTCTTTACTAGTTTTGATACTATTCCGAAATAGAATCCATAATAGATTGTTTAGTAAGAAGACAGGAAAGAGCAGAGAGCGGGGAATATATATTTGTGTATGCATTTATATAAATATGTGTATTATTTTACTGAAAATATGTATGTCTTCTAAAATGCAAAGATATTTAAAAATCAGCATTTTATTATCAGTATTTTGCAAGTAAGTATACCATGATCTTAGAGCTTGAAAATATTCTTAACACATTCAAGTATGTATGAATTAGACATGGTTCTAATATACAGTGGTTATCACAAAATTACAAAGTATGATAATTTATGAAAAGTTCTTACCTGTAAATAGTGAGGTAGAGAACATTTAAAAATCAACTTAATTCAATTCACAAACATAGTTTGAATATATACATATCTCAGAATATTCTAGGCATTGTCAACAAAAATGACTATCATATGTTTTCTGCCAGTAAAGACTTCACATGGTAAAGGAAAGAGTCATCGGACCACTAACTCTAAATGCTACGTTGGAAGAAATACACAAATACAAGGGGGGAGAGTCATTTTTTTATTAATATGTACTTGACAAAAATTGTATATATTTCTTGTATACAACATGATGTTTTAGCATATGTATATAATCTGAAATGGTTAAATCAAGCCAATTAACATATCCATCACCTCACATACTTATTTTTTGCATTGTGAACATTTAAGATCTACTCTCTTAGCAATTTTCAAGTGTACAGTACATTAACTATAGGCCCTATGCTGTATAATAGATCTCCCAGACTTATTTACCCTGTCTAACTGAAACTGTACCCTTTGACTATCATCCTCCCAACTACTGGCAATTCCTTCTTTAAGGTTATGGCCTATTGGTAAACGCTTGAATAAGAAGTGATATATAAGTAGTTCATTATAGAATGGAAGAAACTCCACAGACTGAGAAGTCAAAAGGATACAGCATTCCATCTCACTGCGAACACCTTCGTCCATCTTCTCTCCATCATTTCAAATATTATCAAAATTATTTTCAAATTTTCTTATCTGTTAGGTTTTGTTTGAAAGGGCATTTTCTAGTAGAGATTATTCATGACCCAACAATACTAAAGAGCTTTTCCTGTTATTCAGCTTAAGTATTTTCACTTTAAGGAAGTTTAAAATCAAAGAATTTAAGCTGTTCATATTTATTTACATAACATTATATTTGAGCCAATGCATAGTTTCATTTCATTCTTTTCAAAACTCCTTTTTCTTCTACTTTTGTTTCACTGACTTATTCCTTCTATAGTAGTTTTAAAAATAGGCTGCTAATATCAATTCAACTAATTAATTTTGACATATTTGTTTACAAAACACAAGAGTTATATTAACATGAAAACTAAACTGTTTGAGACTCTTTTACTCATTTTTCTTACATTACTTCCCTACCATTTTTCTGGGTTCATATTTAATATATTTTGAGATCACAAATCTCATGTTTAAAAAATTAAATTTATCTCTCCAGATTGTTTAAACTTAAACATTCTATTTTGGAGTTATAATTAAACAGTTATTTACATTTATTAGCATCCCACCTCTAGCGATTTCATACATTTATATTAGTTTTTAGCACTTGAATGTTAATAGCCATTCCTTAGCTCACATTTCATTCACTTACAAAGTATTTTAAAACATACAAACTGGATTATTTTTTATTTTAGCTTTATTTTTATCAATGTTATACACAAATGATTGAAGATGCACTTAGTTCTGTAAGATTTTTTATACAGTGCTTCATTGTCCCTACCCTGAATCAACCATTTCAACCATAGCTGATTATCTTTACATATCACACTATCTCTCTAAATAATGCGGATACTTTAGTATCCTAATGTATTATAATGTTTATGCATTATCTGTTGATTTTGCAATAACAAAAATGAAGATTTCATTCTCTTTCATCATTCCCTTCTATAACCATTTCTTCCCATCCTCCCATCACTTCTATTTATCAAAAGTTTTACTAGATATACATTAACTATTTACATTGATATTACTATGTTAATGCTATTGACAAGTGAGTCAAGATGTATCTTATGGTTGTTTGCCCCTTCCTTGAAACTTTGTTTGCCATGAAAAACTGTCTTTATATTTCTACCTATCACTAAAATAATCCCAAATTCTTTGTCAATTGTATTAAACTCTTTTCCCTGCATTAAAGAAATCTCTCCAACAACCCCTGATCTTCCCAGTCAGGACTGGTTGATTGGCCTCCAGGCCTGGAGTATAGATCTCTACTTGGGATCATCTTTGACCTTATTCTGAAAATTCTATTCTCCTTATCTTGGTGCTGCAGATATATTTTCTGAATACAATGTGTTATTAGTTCTCGGTTTATAACCATGTTTTGATAGAGCATATCATCCAGTACCTTCCTAACAGAGGTTGAATGGGCAGTACTAAACAAATATACATTTATTCAATTCTCATACCTCATACATACTGATAATTCAGGTGGAGGTAAAATTCAAGGTTGGAAATATTGTTTCTTCTGCATTTTGAATACATTGCTCCATGTGTTATCCATTGTTGCTGTTCACACACTTAAAGTGATTCTGATTCCTGACTCTTTCTATATGTCTCAGTTGATGTTTGTGTGTGTCTCTCTAAAAGCTAATAGCATCTTCACTTTTTCAACATTGTTCTGAAATGTCATGTCAACGTTCCTTTGCATCAGCCTGTTTTTATCCATTTACTAATCACTTGATGTGTGGTATTACTGGCTTTCAATATGCAAACTAAAATCCTTCATTTGTACATGTTTTACTTTAATTTTTTTGATGATTTTTTCTTCTATTCTCTTTTATGTTTCTGGAATTATTATTTTAGAATAATATCATCTTAGAATCTTTTGACCTTTTAACAGGTCCTCTGATTTTCTTATATTCACTCTGCTGTATCCCTGGCTTTTGCCTCCTTGCTCCATTTTCCTCAAGTATAATCAACCCTTTTATTGAATTTTTCATTTCAATCATATATATTTAATTTTTAAAAGCTCTTTTTTTGTATTGATCCATTTTTATGTCCTGTTTCTTGGATTGAAAGCTGACCGGGCCAGGAAGGCTGGCAGTTCTGGAGTTCAGTGCACAGAGGCCAGGTGTGTTGGGCACGTGTCTCTGATGATCTCATCTCCTGATATTCATATCCTTGGGACATCCCCTACCTCTAAGTATGGGCTGACCCAGTGCCTTATTTCTAATAAATTAAGCAGGCAAAAGTGATAGAATATCACTTCTGGAGCTAGGTGCAGCAGATTTAAACTCTTACCTGGCTTGTATATTTTTTCATCTTCTTGGCTTGCTCACTTTGATGAAGATACAAGTTTAAGAAATACATGTGGCGAGCATCTGAAGAGAGCCTCTAAGACCCTACGAATTACTGAATCATGCCAACAAGAAAGCCAGTGAGCTTGGAGGTACATCCTTCACCAGTTGGGTCTTGAGGTGACTATAGTTCCGTCCGACACCTTAATTTCAGCCTGTGAGAGAGCATGAACCACAGAACCCAGGTAAGCTGTTGCCAGTTTCCAGATCCAAAGGAACTGTAAGGTGATAAATGTGTTAGTATTATTTGTTCGATAGCAATAAAAAACTGATATAACATATGATATTCAGGATGCTATACTCTTATCTTCATTCTGCCTGAGATAAACTAGAATAGAGGCCTTCTGTTTTACTTTTTGTAGTGAATAAAATTCCAGTTTTGAATGGGGCCAGGAAGAGGGCAATCTACCTAACTGCAGAGATCAGGGACCAGAGTCTGGAAAAACAATTCTTTTTAAAATACTCTCAACTTAAACTCATGTTTTTATTCTATTATTACATTATTAGAGTTACCTAATGCATAAATTTCTGAGCTTCCTTGGAGCTGGTGGTAAAAATTAAGTTGCTATGTAGTTTTTCTCCTGTTGATTTAGAATTCAACTTTCTTGAACCTAGTAGATTATTTACCACTCATCCATTTGCTGTCCAGCTTCCAAAAATATTTTTCTATTGTCTCCTTTCCTGTTTTTTTGCTCTTTGTAATTTTGTTTGTTTTATTTTATTTATTTATTTATTTATTTTTTTGTCTTTTATCTTTTTCCATGTCCGGGTACAATGGATCGCAACCCTCAGTGTTGCCCCCGTACCGGACCAGGGACCGGCAACGGGATTGCAACCCTCGGTGCTGCTCCCGCGCCTCGCTCAGCCAGTGAGCGGGAACCGGTCTGTACGTGGGATCCGAACCCTCGGGCGGGAGCGCCACCACACTTCCCAAGCGGCGCACTTATCCAGTGCGCCACCGGGCCGGCCCCGTAATTTTGTTTGTTTTAAAAATTTATCTTATGAGTAATTTTAGTAAATTTTCAGGAACCATCTAAAATGGATTCACTCTACTATCTTTGCATAATGCACAGATTTATCACTACCTTTTAATGATTTTAATTAAATATTGAAGCTAGCATTCATACATATGGAGTTAAGGGTACATAAATGTTTAACATGGTTGTTTGCAATTTTTTGTTTTTAATATTTTAATATCAAATTTAAGTTTCAAAATCCTGTTAAAATGTTTGGTCTAAACTATAGAGTTCTTGAGTTTTCATAGTATTACACTGCTTCATGACAATAAATTTAAGTGTTAACCCACTTAAAGCCATGAGAAAATCCCAAAATGGGAAGATAGAAAAAGGGACTTCAAGTAAAACTCAATACAAAATAATTAAGATGGTTGATTCTTGCTTGGCAAACGCTTTTTTTCCCCCTTTCTTTATGAAAACTAAACAAAACAAAACAAAAAACTACACACACAAGTAAATATGATATTGTTCCCACAGTGTGCTTAGAGAAACCAAGTCATAATCCTATGCCCACATGTGTGATGATGTTTAAAAAGAGATCTGTTTACGTTTCTTCAGACCAGCCGCCTGACATTTCAAAAGATAAGAAGTACTGTTCAGTTTGAATGAACACATAAATATCTCTGCAAATGTATTTGAACTCATCTTTTGAAATATCAGTTTGGGACCAACTGATATGAGTTACTTATTTGGATATTGGAATACAGTATTAAGAGTCTGAACCAATTTCTTGAAAGAGATAGAATGATGCTGAAGAATATATTTTGAGTAAATCAAGAAAGTAAAAGTTTATGTGGGTATTACTTCATCAAGGTAATTTGTTCTTGACTCATTCTTGTTTTAGAATACTTAAAGTTTAAATACAGAAATATGTTATAGAATTTATATATATCAAGATATTCCTTTGATTTTCTGAATTTTTCTCATAAAATTAAAAAAGATCAATATTCCATTGGCTATTTCGCTTTACTGTTTTGTGTACATGTTGAATATTTTTGTGTCCTAATATTTTCTCTTTACGGAGATTTATTATACAACTGGATCTGATTTATCCTGTTTTTTGTTGGATAAGTTGGGGGTGTAATGGGCATGGCTATAAACCCACATCATTAAAACTGATGATGAAAACTGACTTACCACACAGGCTAACAATTACTCTCATAGGCATTTACCCCACAGACATGAACATTTATTTTCACATAGATACTTGTATCTGAATATTCATAGCAGCTTTATTTGCAATAGCTCAAAGCTGAAAACTGACCAAATGTCTTTAAGAAGGGAATGGTTAAACAAACTCTGGTACATCCATACCATGTGTCTTAGTACATTTTCTGCTGCTATAACAAAATACCACAGATTGGGTAGTTTATAAAAAAAGAGATTTATTTGGCTTGTGGTTCGGGTGGCAACGTCCAAGGGCATGGAGCCAGCATCAGCTATTTGGTGAGGGCCTTCTTGTTGTATGATCCCACGGCAGGAAGTAGAAAAGAGTGCATAAAGAAATCTCATGTATACTTCCCCAAATCTAGCATAATACACATTTACAATACATAATCAAAACCAAGAAATTGACATTGGCACAATTCATAGAGCTTGGCAATTCATAGCAAAGGCAAGCCAGCATATAAGACAGAGAAAATGGGAGCTGACCTTATCCTTTTATCTGGAACTGACTCCTGTGATAACTAACACACTCATATAATAATGGCACTAAACCAGAGCCCTCATGACCTTATCCCCTCTTAACACCTCACAATGGCAATTACATTTCCACATGAGTTTTAGAGGGGGCATTCAGACCATAGCACCACAGAAGGCTACTCAGCAATAAGAAGAAATGAGCTATTGATATACAAACAATGTGGATGAACCTCAAGGAAATTATGCTGAATAAAAAAAGCCAATCTCAAAAAGATACATAATTCATCATTCCATTTATGGAACATTTGCGAAGTATCATAATGATATAAATGGAAATTGACTAATGATTTCCAGGGCCTAGGTATGGGGGTTAGTAAGTGCATGGATATAGAGGGGTAATATAAGGGAATATTGTAGTGATGGTACAATTGGGTATGCTGATTTTCCTGGTAGTTACACAAGCTACATATGTGATAAAATTGCATAAACACATGTATACACACACATATGCACTATCAAAAATAAGTACGTGTACAACTTCTGAAATCTGAAAAACCTCTAAGAATTGTAGCAATGTCAATTTCTTGGTTTTTATTATGTATTGTAAATGTGTATTATGTTAACATTGGGGGAGATTTGGGGAAGGGTGCATGGGATTTCTTTACACATTTCTTTTTCTACATCCTGTGAATCTATAATTATCTCAAAACAAAATGTTCACAAAAAGCTCACTTGAAGTAAAATAATTTTGACAGACAAAACCATAAGAGAAAATGTGATATTGCAAAAGTTTACATTTTGGAATAATCACATTTTGAAGGCACTAATAATATTCACTTCTACTTACCTCCGATGGGAGGTAAGCCTGCAGGAATGCTCCATATACGTGCCCATGACCAAGAGCTTGGAAGTGTTCTATTTTGTTTGTTTGTTTTTTGAATACTGAAGGGGGCATTTCCCTTCTGCCCTTTCTTGGTATTTTTTTGGTTAATCTTCATAAACATGGAATGGAATTTGATTGTAGGGTTCAAATAATACTAGAAATAAATTTTGTAAAGGTAAATAAGAGGAAGACATTTTTTCCCTATGCCATTTATTCTCTGGAAAAAAAAATAATTGTTTAATATTTTAAATATAAATTTTTTATGAAATAACACACATATCTATTCTCATATTTTTTTCATTTAATAATCAAGTTCAGCTTTAATTATTGGTGGATTCTAAACCGTGGCTTCAATTTGTAATTTATGATTCATGCTTAGGCCCATTACTGAGTCATGTTCTTCCTGAGTGGCCATCAGCACTGATGATTAAATACATTTTAATTTATCAAATAGAAAGGCCTGATAGGATCTTTAATATAATCAATGAGTTTTACTACAAACATCAGTAACATTTTTATATTTGCCGTATGTCCTTTTATCAATTTAAAATAATGATATATGCTTATCCTATCCATATAGCTTTCCATATTTTTATAAAAGTTTATAAATTTAACAAGAAGGAAACATGATGTAAAAAAGTGTTATTTCAGAAGCTTGCTCCATTTTGAGCCAATAGAATTAGGGAAAGCTCTTTATGGATATTTTGGGTTATGATTGTTGAGGATCTGTGGGCAGAGAGAAATTGCGCAAAGAAGCATTTACTGAAGAAAATGATTGTAGAAATCTTCTTCTTGGTTTAGAAGATAAAAATTTAGGAGCTTGAAGAAGGTAGATATGGAGAATGGTCTTCAAAGAGGAAGGAAGCCAGGAAGATGACAGCAGGAAAACATCTGATGAAAAATCAATTCTCTGCGATATCTAAGACCATAAAACTTTAGACATAAAACTTTAGGGATTCAATTATCAATTTTTACTGATTCTGTCATTCGGTTTTTCTCTCTTTTCACATATTTTAAGAAAATTAGCTATTGAGAACCCACACATATGACTGCAGAGAAAGAGCGATGCTGTCAATTATGAGGTAAGCCAGTATAGAAACAAACAGGAGCAGAACTGCAGTCAATGAAGTGGGGGTGCTGGAAAATTCAGCAGGAAAATGCACCGAAATGAGGTGCACAACAGAAATCATGCCTCCCGGAATTTTCAGAATTATTAGAAATGTGATTATGCCACAGAAAATGATTAGGTCAAGCAAGTAATTTCCCCTGTTTTTAGATAGGGACAGAAACTAATTAATTGGGAAAAAAAAGTCGCAGTATAAAGTTATTTATTATCACCAACTTTCTGCTCTCCTCTGTGTCTCTCTCTCCCTTTATTGTTTTCTTTTCCTGCTCTGTGTGTGTGTGTGTGTGTGTGTATGCTTCGGTGCATACAAATTTTCTTCTAGGATTTCTTTTTACTTCTGTTTTTCTAATGTTATACAAATAATAAATACTAATTATTGAAAATGCAAAAATTAAAAGTAGAAAAATAAATACAAATTATCCTGCCAGTCATAAATGAATGTCATTAATGGCATACAGCTTTCCAAACTTTAAAAAAAACGTAGTTTTTTATTATGCCTTTATAACTTGATATTTTAGAGCTATTTTTTATGTACATAAATATTCTTCC